TACAGACCCATCCTACACAATGACAAGCACAATGCTCTAGCACCAAAGTAAACTCACTCAGAAACTTTTGATCAAACTCCAACTTCCACAGTAGAGGGAAAGGGTGAATTGGGAGTTTGGACTTGTGGGGAAAAATATCTGTTCAATTTTATGCCTGGCGTGGTGGTATCTAGGTTCATAAGTGGGCCCTCCCTGGAGAAAGAGACCTGGAGTTTAGTGGCTCTCTCCAGTGAGGTAAAATGAGAGGTCTTTTATTTCCTGCTCATTTGCAGATAGCTTGCAGCAGGCCCCCTGCTTGGGGGAGGGGTCTCCTGTCCTCTAGTCAGTAGGCTTTATACCTGTAATTTGTTTTCTTGAATGTTCTTCCTTGGAGTTACAGCTTGCCAAACTTCTTTCTTGGTTCAGCTCCCTGTCTTTGGCTTCATAGAGCAGTGGCTTACTGTGTGTGAACCAAAACCTCCAGTGGGGCTGGTGAGCAGAGGCTTACCAGGTAAGGACTGAGACCATAAGGCCATATGAGTATGGTGCCCTGACTCTAACAGAGCCTGCAAAGAGAGGTTTGCCAGGCAGTGGACTGAGACTGGCAGCGGGGGCATTGTCCCCTGACTCCAACTGGTCTAGCAAACAGAGGCTAGCTGTATGTGGACTGAGACCGGAGGGCAGGTCCAGTGCCCTGCCTCCAACAGAGCCTGTGAACAGAGGCTTGCTAGGCAGTGGACTAAGACTGGCAGGTGGGGGCATGGTCCCATTACTCCAACTGGTCTGGCAAGCAGAGGCTAGCTGAGTGTGGACTGAGACCAGAGAGCAGGGCCTGATGCCCTGACTTTAACAGAGCCTGCAAACAGAGGCTTGCCAGACAGTGGACTGCGACTGGCAAGGGGTGGGGGGGAGCGTAATTCCTTGACTCCAACTGGTCTGGCAAGCAGAGGCTAGCTGTGTGTGGACTGAGACTGGTAGGTGAGGGCATGGCCCCTGGCTCCAGCTGGGCCTGCGAGCAGAGAAGCAGACAATAGTGTGGACTAAGTCTGGCGGGTAGGAGTATAGATCCCTGGCTCCAATTGTGCTTTGAATCCCTTTGCTTTGAATTGTCCCTGAATCCCTCCCTGTTGGGCAGGGTTTGCACTGCCACAATTTGGTTAGAACCCATGTCTGTGGCTGTCCACTCAGGGACATTCTAAGGTTGACCTTGAAGTTCTGTAGTGGAAAAGAAATGAAGGGTGGGGGCTGGTCACTGCAGCTATTTGTATCTCTTCACAGTCGAGA